TTTATACAGGGTTTTCTTAATTGTGTGTAACCAGAAGGGTTATTTCATAGATTTGTAGGAGTGTGAGTGTGAAGGTGTCTCCATGCGTGAATAGTGGCTTTCAAAAGCCTTTAATAGCGGCGGTCGTTAAGGGTTGTCGTTCTCACATTGGTTCCTTTTAGCGGAGCGAGGAGTATGTAGCCTTCTTGACGTAGCACTGAAGTTTCCGGACGATCTTCAGGACTCCGTCATCTCGGCAGTTCTGCTTTAATTAGCCCGCTGCGGACATCCGCGGCGGCCCCCGCTGTTTTTAATTACCGTTTCGCCTCTGTTCTGCTTCATCCACCGTTGCCCCTGATGCATCATTGTCACTTCGTATACGTGTGACCTCTTGATGGTCGGCGAAGGAAAGGACGATCCCTAGAGTGGTCATTTCATCTATTTTTTTTTCCTCTGGCGGCTTCATGTGGTGCTGCAAGCGGACGGGGACCTCGATCTTTTCTCGCCTGCCTTCCTCAGAAAGTCCATGTTGCCCCGCCTACCTTCCCTGGGTTTGCGGACGCTGATGCTTCGCATCGTATTTGAGATCTGGGTCTCGTTACATTCATTGTCAACGGAAACGTTTTCAGTTTATCTATGCAATTAGCTCACTAGGCCCCCGAGTTCCATCCTTACAATTGGTTCAACCCAAGGACAGTTTGGAGGTACAGCAGATGAGAGTGCTCTAAACTCTGTGCTGTTTCCTTGGCTAATCGTGTCCAAATCTGACAAAAAAAATGGCAACAAAATCAAAATAATGCGTCTTGATTCTGAGATACTGGCGTGCAGCAGTCGTGCTCCAAACGCCGCATTAAAGGGGTAGGTCACCCCAAAACTGAAAAAGATGTTTAAAAGGGCTTTAGTGCTGCCTGTCCATCTAGGTTGTTTTGTGTAGAGTTGCCTAGTTTTGGAGATGTTGCCTATAGAAATGTTTTGGAAAATCTCAGCAAAATTCAGCAGAACAACCGTGATGGATAGTTAGGCCTAAAGCCCCTCTTGGGGTGAACTGCCCCTTTAACGCTTAATGAATAGCCAGTTTCTGCAGCCGAGGTTTGACTCGTTAATGATGCATCCAGCATGTGCGTGACAGGAAGTGAGTACAGTGTCGCGATGGTGACTAATTTGAAACGTCATTGAAATACAGACCAAAGCTTAATCCCTTGGACTCTGAGATATCTCAGAAGGGGTTGATCATTTGGGGGGGCGGTTTCTCCAAACTTGATAATTGAATCTGGTCGGACTTTGACTGACTTCCTACATGTTGTTTAACTCCTTGGTACCTCTTTCTCTGCTGTTCTGTCCCTATTGAAACATAGGGACAGACATTCGTATCGCTACATGGTGAGACTCTCTCGCAGTCCTCCGCTAGTTTCACTTACTTTTCTGATAAATTGTGATACGACTGATGATGCTAATTAGAGAGCTTGTCAGATCCGGCCCACGTGAGCCATGTTTCCTGCAGATGTAATTAAAAGCCCTCCCCCCCCATCCCCCTTAGCCAAGTACAGGCATCGGCTGAGGATGGCTGTCCTGGCCGATGCGAAAAGGCCAGCTGGGCCCTGCTTGATCGTCAATCAGTTTATGATCCTGCGCCGCTGGAAAAAGTGCTCCTGACAACTAAGGTTATTGACCGAAAACAACGGCGATGGATGAAGATTTGGCTTCTTGTTCTTAACCTTGAGTTCAAAGCAAGTGGGCTCTGAATTTGGAAACTGGAAGCCATCTGCTAGTTCAACATGGTGGAAGTATTTTAATAAGTCTTTTCCTGTGGATGGGGTAGATGTATTAATCATTATACAAGTATATATAACCTGTATATATAATATATCATATGCAGGGGCGACTTTAACCATGAATACTAAGTGGGCATCAGTAGTGATGATGGATTTAAACGGGATGGAAAGCTTTGATATTCGTCAAGAGCAAAGTTTGCCAGCTGATCTTGGAAAAGAGGAGCAGGGAGGCTTGATCTCCCTTTCTGTGGTGTGTCTCCTCGTGAGTGTGCACGTGCACATGCCCTCGGAACGTCGATAGTTCGTAAAACAAACGGTGTGGCATAAAAGTGACACGCCACATTAATCTGGGACTGTGCCGATCTGCCGCTAATGAAGTCTTTGAAGGATTCCTTTAATTAGACACGGGATCGCAGTCAGTGTCTCTCAGTCAGAGTCTGCGGGGGGGGGGTTGGGGGACTTTGCTTCTTTTAACTTTGAAAGGAAGGGTTTGGTGGAAGTAGAAGCATCATTCATCGGATTCGCCAAATCCGGTGTCAACCTGCGAGACAAGAAGAGAGAGAAGGAACAAGTCAGAGAGAGAGAGAGACAGGGAGAGAGAGAGAGACAGACAGGGAGAGAGAGAGAGAGAGAGAGAGAGAGAGACAGACAGGGAGAGAGAGAGACAGAGAGACAGACCGACAGACCCACCGACCCTCTTCCATCCACAATATTGACTTTTCTCCGGTATATTTTCCCTTAGCCATGGGAGGTCTGGGGAAATACTTAATACTCCATAGAAATGTGATGCAAGTGTCCTGTGGCTTAATGCGGAGAGATATGCTTGAGGAGTCGGCCGCACACGTTGCTGGGGTAATTTAATTGGGGCGGCGGAGGAGGAGGAGAGCGGGAAAGGCAGAGCCCCTCCCCAGCATCGCTGCTCTAAAATAGGCCGATTAGCGTTGATGCTATTCCCTTTCCCGTAATCCCATCTCCGTCTGGGGGGTGTTTCCTTTGCCCCCATCCCATCTGCACCCCCTCCCCGGCCACATCTGCATCCTACCCTTGCCCCCAATAACCCGTCCTTTGGCCATTTTCCTGCCCTCAGGTTCTCTTTCTTGGGGTTTTGGAAACCTGTTTTCAGCAGCCCAAACGGCCTTAAATTTGTTTTTTTTTTTTTACTTCAGATATTCCCTGTCTACATCCTGTCTGGGGTGTACCCCACCTTGTGCCTCGAGAAGGCTGCAGGCCCATCTGTGACCCTGACTGGTTTAAGTCTTTTGAATATGGATGGATGGATAGATTGATGGACATGTCTTGCTTATTTACTTACATTTACCAAGCATGTGCATAGGGGGTTTGGGGGGCAAACTGGCCTGGACTGAATTGCGTTTCAGACTTTTATGCGGCCAATACCATGTAGAACTGCGAGTCTCACTCCTCAAAGGAGCCTTTTCTTATGCTCTGCTAAGGACTTATTGCTTTGTGATGATTAATGGAGAAAAAGAAACGTATAAAAACAGTCCCGCGGGCAGATGGCCTCCGGTGGCTTTGTCAGGGGCTGCAGACCTGTGTGTGGAGCGTGTGACTTTAATGGGACTTGTGATTAACTGGCGCACTCGTGCCGCACGGCCCAGATACCTTACCTGGGGCGGCTTTTTAGGCTGAGAATTCCACAAAGGTGTCAGGGAAGCACCCAGAGGCCCAGCACTCGCAGATCTGGGGCTCAGGCATGTGATTTAGGATATTTGCCCTCTGGAATTTATTAAAGAACACTCTTGTGTGTTTCGCGAGGCCATGCTGACGGTCTATGCTGGGGTGGACCATGGGGGGGTGGGGGGGAGTCCCTCGGCCATTTTGTTTCCCGTCAAGGCAGGCCTCCTAATTCCTGACATACTTGTTATGGGAGATGTGTATTAAGGACACACTAATCCCAGAGTGCGTGAGTTGCCAGCCTCTCGCGGCGGCTTGATGGACTACCCAGAGCCTCGGGGGCACAGCCACATGCCGGTTATGGTGGCAGTTAACGATTCAAGGCACGTTATGTCCTGGGGCTGTGTGTGTGTGTAAGGAAATCCAAGATGGCCACTGCTCATTAGCCTTAACTAGGCAGCCCCCGAAACCATTATAGGGACCTCGCTGGTGTCCTTTGTGGCCTTTGAAGGGTGTAAATAATCTGCTAATCATTCCTCTGCTTTTCTGGTCACAGAATTATGAAGATTAAAAATGAAAAAACACATATAGGGCCCTAAGTACCTATTTACCTTTCGCATTTTCCACCTGCCCATTGATTCTTAGTGCAATGTTTATATTATGGTAATATTTTTGGTGTAATCGGCCGTTTTATAAAATCTTGGCCTGCCGGGCAGAATTATCTCCTCGTGTACAGATCACAGAGCCTCAAATCCCGTATATTATTTGCGTCTTTGACATCCAGCATTTGTGTACACGAAATGCCGCTTTTCGGGGGAACACGGTGGCAGCGGCTGCAGCGCATTGGGCGCTATTCAGGCGCGCTGTCATGTTTTATTGCAGGTTGCGTGTTTGTTTGCACAAAGCACGCTTGCTCTTTGGCAGGCAGACAAACGGCGAATGGAGCGAGGGAGCCGACCGCATTGTTTTTGTTATAGCAGATGCTATTATCCGCCATGTCAAAGGACGTTGAATAAATGATGAGTTCTGAATTATTTCTCTAATTTATTGTTGCTCAGTTGTGAAACACAAGCGCGGTAGACATATAGCAAGCAATGCATGTCCTTTCTGTTAGGTTCTGTGTTCTGTTTCAGTGGTTTTTAGCCCGGTATTGCTGGACCGCTCAGGAGCATGGGAGGTGCCGTACATTTACAGTCCAAAAAGTGTTCGTTCCATCCATCCATCCATCAGTCAGTTTTCCAAATATCCAATACGTGCACTCTATGATTCTGAAGAGTACCCCAGGAAGCACTGGGCAGAAGGCAGGGTTTGCCCTACATGGGCAAACGAAGAAATGTTATTGAGCATATGCTGAATGCTGTGCTATTTCAGGACCTTCAGACCTTCAGATTCAGGACCTTCTGGTCTATACGGGCAGGTTTTCTTTGGGTGCCTTCATCAGAAACTGTAAATGACTCCTTCCCAGATCTCTTGTACGTTACCTGCATGTCAACCAAAAAAAATGTTATTTGCTGCTGTTTCTGGTCATAGAGGAGACTGCAGACATTCACCTCGATATCTGTGGAGTTTGCCTGGGTTAAGCATGTTCCATGGAGTAGGGCTCCGCTCGACATGAGCATGGTACAGACCCTGGAGATCCGCGTGGTGGTAAATCCAGAATCGGCTTATTTGGTGGAATACATTCACACACTGGGAATCTGTCCGTGGTCAGTTGTCACATAAACATACAGTAAAAACAAGACCCAAAGCTCCCAAGTAGGGAAAAGATCCCACTTGGAGTCCAAGGCTGACTGGCTGCCCAAGGAGGGGAAAGTAAAATTGTGCCATGTCTCCTGGCCAGTGATTTGGCAGCGCAGACCCTGACTGTGGATGATCGTGCAGGATTAAATAAACCTGTAATGAGCAGGCTGGAATGAGGTCGTTCCCCCCTCCGCTGACAGGTGCTTTAGTCCTCGTAAACCATGGCTCCGGTTCTTTGTCTTTGTTCCCACTCTTCTGTGAGTGGCGGACAAATCAGAGCGGGCGGCTGCTTGATGCATCCACCACTCTTGCGTGTCGAGCTACAGAGAAGTTGACAGACGCAACAAATACTCAACTCCGAGGAGACAAACGATACACACGACGGTACCCAGCACAAGCACAGATTTGATCCTGGGTGCCGCTGTTACTTACAAGTCAATGTGAGAGTGGAACATTAGGCCGGATGAGTGGTTCACTGGTTCAACACCTAGAAAACACCTCTGAGGAGAGTCTCCCAAGACTCCAGAGTGTTCCCGTTTCTGGGGGTACCGTCCTGATCTTCAGCTTCCCCTGTAGACTGTAGATTTTCAGCTTCCACCTTAGACTCGTATTAGTCACCGCGGGACAGTACTACTGGTTCTCGGCCCTGCGGGGTAGGCGGTACATATTTTATTGAGGAACTTCCTTGGGGCAATAGGAAGCAGCAAGTAAATATGATGATAAACATGGGATATGGTGGGGGCTGTTTCAGGGGCCCGGAAAGGAATCGATGGTCTGGGATTATGGAGCCTAAACGAAACAGAACACATCGCTTTATACATGTTGTTTTTTTTGGTGAATAAAGGACAGGTGGAATGAATCAGCATATGACCCAGGTCACATGACCTTCTCTCCACAAATAGCAGAAAACAGAAATAGGTTACTGTTTTATGCATCCAATGACAAGCAGCTGGTTCACAGTTGTCCTCAAAGCCATGAATGAAATGGTTCTCCTATGATTTTGCTATAAAAAGTGTTTCATGTTAGCATTTACCTTCACAGAAAACATTATATGTGTGTTAGCATCTCACGCTGTGGGTTTTTTGTCTTTTGTAGGAGGAGACCCTTGCTTTAAGGAAGGAGGGGATCGGGGTGGTCCTGGACTCTGAATTGCCTCACTTAATTGGCATTGATGATGACCTTCTCAGTACTGGAATCATCCTGTATCATCTGAAGGTGAGCAGGAGAGAGACTGTTCTCTCTTTTTTTTGAGGAAAGTGTGGTAACAGTGTTTTATTAATGTGAATGTAAAAATATGCGGCCAAGAATCATATCAGATGTGGTGCATCAGAAGGAGTTTCTGTGATTTTCTCTGGCTGGGGAAGACTTTGTTTGGTCTGGGCCTATAATGTACCTTTTTGTTTGTCCCTTTAGGAAGGAAGGACCTACGTTGGCCGTGAAGATGCCACGACTGAGCAGGACATTGGTGAGGGCAAGATATATATTGATCCCCCCCCCAAAGTCCCATTCATATAATTTTACTAGAACATACTGTTAAGTCCTGCTATTTCTCTCTGAACTCTGAAGTTTCCATATCTAATCATCTCTGGATGCTTGGCCAGTTTACACTCTCATGCTCTTCTTTTTCTCTGCCAGTTCTTCACGGCCTGGACCTGGAGAGCGAACATTGCGTCTTCGAGAACCTCAGCGGCACCGTGACCCTGGTCCCGCTGGATGGAGCCCAGTGTTCCGTTAATGGGGTGCAGGTTGTAGAACCCTGCCAGCTGAACCAAGGTGATCAAACCCCCCCTCCACCATGTGTCTGTGCACCCTCCGCACCATCACCGTGTATATTGCAGGTCTTTCAGCCTTTTGGCCCCACACATCTGGACTTTAACCGTGTGCCGATCCGGTGGGATGCTCGTTGGAGTGAGATAATGTGCCAAAAAAGCTTCAAACAAGAACCGGCAGCCAGATATGAGGAACTTCAGCCAATTTGTGTGTCGGGCGTTTGACCCCCCCCCCCCCCCCCCCCCCCCATTTTTTTGACTTAACGTTGATCACAGCGGAAGAAAACAGTCCGTTCCCTGCAGGGTCACGTGTGCCTGTTGATAAATCACATTAACAGATTGCCCCTCATGCCCACGCGTACACACCTCTCCCCCCCCCCAGAGAGATACTCCCTGTATACGATCTTGAAGGATTGGAGTGGTCTGGAGTATCCTCGAATCCGTCTCCGCTAGTCGACGTCCGCCGGGGCGGGAGGCGGGCGAGGAGAAGCGGCTCGGCCATGTGGTTAATTGTCAGATAGAGCCGATAGCAGCCTGGAGTTCAGGTGGGAAGAGGATTAACCTTTTATAAAGGGGGGGGGCTGAAACTTTGGATATCCTGGGAGAATGGCATCGTGTCTGCTGGCCGCATAATCTATTCTCTGCAGGTCCCCGCGAGATAAAGAGTGGGAGGGGTGGGAATCAGAAAGTCAAGCCGTGCCAGGTTGCTTTATAACAATTTCAATTTAGCCAATATCCCATTTAGATGGCGGCGCCACTGTGCCCAGCAGCCATTTCTCACCCCGGCTGCGGAAATCCATCACGTCCCCGGCTCGGCCTGCTTTGTCACTCCCGCGAAGTCATTAACGGCACTGGGATTGAAGTAATATGTGCATGGGAGAGGAAGTGGGTACTGAAAGGGATTCTGGGTACAGGTTGAATCCAAATGTATATTTTTTCACGTTTTGCGGTCAGCTAGTTTGTTCGACTTACAGTGACGCAGTACTTTGTTTCACTTTCCGTTAAAATAGTCAGTCCAGGTAAAAGCGTTTAATACAGCTTATGCAGTTAACAGCTAGCTATACCTGTGCTTTGAGGTCCGATGGGGTTTTGGTGAGTTTTAAAACAGTCATATATTCATGCTAGCTGAGAGTATTCCCAGCTTCATGGCAGGTGCGCGATCGGCCGCGTGTCTCAATGCCATACATCTGTAATTGGCTCGCCGGATTTGTTCTGACAGGTGCTGTCATATTACTGGGGCGGACCAACATGTTCCGGTTTAATCACCCCACGGAGGCTGCCGAGCTCCGGGAGAAGAGGAAGGTATGGCCATCGCCGCTGGCTCTGCACCCAGATCTGGCTTCTTAGCCCCCGTTAACTGTGCGCCCCCAAAGCCATCTGTGGAGAAGGGATCCCAAGGGTGCTGGGTGCGACTTTCCGATGACGTGCGATTTTTCTCAGAGGAAATACGGCTTATTTGATTGGATTGATTTGCCTCAAAACCTTTCTTAAAATATCATTTTTGTTTGTTTTTGTTGTCTTATTTTTGGAAGAGCAGAAGATTTGTTTTTCAGTGAGGAGCGTTCTTCCTCATGTGAGGGCTGGGAAGCTGTCAGGCCTCAGAGTTTTGTTTTATGAGCCGGTAGCCAGATGCTGTTAGTTTTGCAGGTAATTAGATACCTGCAGGGGGTCCCTGCATATTTAGGAGGCTTCCTCGCTGCCTGTTCTCTCCTGTCACCTTCAGACCGGCCTTTTCCTTGATGGTGGCGTGACTCGGCACTTTGTCTGGTGAGATGTGGAGCGATTCTTCTGGAAAGGCTTTTATCCTGAGGAGCTTACAGTTTTTATCAGGGACATGTGTGAAATGAACATTACTATGTGAAAAATAGAGAAATGCCTTCAAGACCATTTCTCTGTAATGTTGTCATTAATGTTAATTAGGCTGCATTTTTACACACACAATACACGTGCATATATGTGTATGTATGGTTTATGTACATAGACGCACACTCACGTGTGTGTGTGTGTGTGTGTGTGTGAGTATCATTTCTCCTGGTTCTTCTTCTAATTATCTTTTCAGCCTTTTCTGCTTTAATAGATATGACAGTCTTGCCATAAACTAAGATGACGTAAGATATGATGAACTTGATTGATCATGGGGGAAATTCTGCGTACAACAGCACGGTACATAAAGTGCAAAACATAGTACAAGTACAGCACACGGTGTGAAATGCCAGACAGCAGCGGCGACTGTCATTTGGGGTAAAGCCATTTAAATTCCACACATGTTCAGTGGTGGCCTTTCCCCCCCCCCCCCCCCATGTAATAAATGCAGTTATCTGTATTAAGTGTGTCTGGGGAAGGCCATGATACTTTCTCTTCATTTCCTGGACACATGACTGGGCTCGGTTTTGAAGCAAGGCCTCATTTCGCTGCCAGCTGTCTGCCGAAAGGTCACACGTGCGTCATTGTCGTTCATGCCGACTGAAAACACCTCCGGCATGCGAAATTGTCTCGAGTCGGCCTTCCGGCGTCTTGTAGGAGGCAGTGAAATTTGATTCGTGGGCCCTCGTCACACTCTGTCCCTCATGCCTCTGGTCTGAAATGGGACATTTGTCACCCGTGATCCGGCGATTTTCACCGATGGCTCCATTCTGTCGCGTGAAGGTCCCCTGTCTCTCTTGCTGTTTCAGAGCGGGCTCCTGTCCACTCTCAGCCTGTCCATGACGGACCTCTCCAAGTCCTGCGAGAACCTGTCAGCGGTCATGCTCTACAACCCGGGGTAAGTGAGGCAGGCACCCTGTGCTTCAACGTGCATGGCCCCGCCTATTCCCAAGCAGCCCCTCCGCACTCGCTGTGCTCTGGCCCCGCCCCTACCCCTCCACCTGGCTGCCCAAGCCCCTCCCACTTCCCCCCACTGCAAACCCTGAGTTTGGTCTCTCAGCGCTCCTTCCTCTTTCATCTTCCTCACAGCCTTGACACTGTGAAAAATGACCATTTTATTTTAGCTGTAAGTTCTGCATATACATGCATACATCGCCAAGTTATGATGTGGTGAGGTGACATTTGTACTTGTATATATTATAGAAGCTTTCTTTGATATGACTCTGTCCGTGTGTGTGTGTGTGTGTGTGTGTGTGTGTGTGTGTGTGTGTGCGTGCGTGCGTGCGTGTGTGTGTCTGTGTGTGCGCGTGTGCTTGAGAGGAAAAACCAGAGGCAAGTGAGCCTGTCACGTTGAGTTTATCGAGGCTGGATTCATGTGCTTTAGGTAATTCTGATTCCTGCCACTCCTCACACAAGGCTCCGTGCATCAGGGGACAGGAATAGATTGGAAGTCTTAATTCAAAGCACCGGCGAGCATCCGATCGAACAACCTTCTCTGCCGAAAGCCTCCTTTCCGTACACCGGCCTTGATTTAAGGCTGCAGCTGCCGGACAACCTTGAGAGTGGCGCGTGGTCACGCGTATCTGTCAACCTGCAGTGGACCGGGGGGGAATAAACACCGACGGGGCGATGTGGAGAAGTGCGGGCCGAGAAACCCCGATAAAATAATAAGTTTCAGCCACAGATCCTGGTCGGGATTCTCACCCTCTAGTGTTTACGGCTCTGACCTGACCTGACCCTTGGGTGTGTATGCTCATGCTGTGTGAGACTCAAATGATAACAGTCGCTTTGTCTTGCTTTGATTGAACATATTTTTACGGAGCATCTGATTCTTGGTTGTTTGCTGTTCAGCTGTGTTTGGCTTTCCATCTCCTGAATCACTTTTGTGTGATTTCTTTTGAATGTTTTATTTGTGACTTTACTATGTTTTCTGTTTATTTTTTATTACTATTTTTTTTATCTGAATTTCTAACTGTTCTAGCAGCTTGTTGGCAGCTGCTACTGGTAAACAGATTATTAATAAACAATAAAACCAATTATAATAATTAGTTCAGGGCAGTATTTCCTCCAGAGTCTACGAGGCTACTGCACTGCACATTCTATTAGTGCTTTAATTTTGAGCCGAAAGTCCCGAAAGTAATAAACGGGGTAACAGAGCGTGCCGGCTTACGAGGCGAGTGTGTAAACAGTGCACATCTCCTCGCTTTTACTGAGCGCTTGAAAGCTGTGCGAATTGGCCAATCAGACTCGACGGTATTAAGCTTGCCTGGTGTTAATACTGAGGGGGGGTCACATCTCTGACTGGAAATGTCTGCCTCCTATTTGTAGTCCTTCCTCCGGGCCAGTAGGAGGAGCACTAATATGAGCAGCACAGTGTTAGCGAGCGACTCCCCAAACAAAGCGTACTGACACAGCGCTGGCCACCTGATTTCCTCCCCTAGGGCCTTGACACCTCTGCAACCATCCTGTTAATTCTGTAATAATTCCTTTGACCTCAGCAGAGCTTATGGCCTTTCAGCATCTGTAATTCCAAATGTCTGGGATAAAATGCGGGATGATTTTGCACCTAAGTGCCTGGAAGTTCTGGACACCCTGTGGGAGTCGATGGAGACTGTGCCAGGACCCCATTTCCGAGCCTGGCCTCCTTCGGTGTCTCAGTAATCGCCTCACCAGGATCTAGATCGGCACCTCCTTCAGGTGTGCGTGGGAGGCCTTGTCCTTCTCCCTGGAGTCCCACTAGAGCTTCTTCTTCATGAAACTTTCATGAGAAGATATAATATATATATATTCCCCACTCCTCCTGTCCTCCTCCTGTCCAGAATTTACATTTTCAACAGCTATGTCTGTTCGCCTGACGTGCCAAAAGAAATCGCGTTCCCCCGCTTAACCGTCATCGGAATCGTCGGAATAAATAACAGGACTGATGCATTCCAGCTAATCTGGTTCAGCTCACTCCGCTCTGCCGACGGGAGCGTTTCATAGGATCGGGCCCTCTCTGCATATATTGATTTAATTATGGTAATCTTTTAACTGTCAGAAATCCTGCTAAGTGCTGCCAATCAGATTGAAGCAGGGGGTCGGCTTCGGTGCGAGACACTTAAAAAACAAATAGCAAAATAAAGGCCGGAGCAGATAGTCCGGGCACATATCAGATGACCCGTCAAATGGTAAGTTAACCGACATGCTCCTCGGAACAAAAGACCCCAACGAGATTAGAGTGAGGTCAGCCCCGCATTCCCAGCGGAGATCGGTTAAACCTCAGGACAGGTTCCCATTTCAGTCCGAAATACAATTTCTGGATTGGGGGGTGTCTGCAAAACTGCCCTCTTCCCGGAAAAGGAGAGCGGGAGAAACAAATGTATGAGAAAAACGTACGAGAAGCTGCACAGGATTAATATCCCCCTGGGGGGGGGGGGGGGGGGGGGAATGGAGGCAGATAGCTGGGCAAGTGAGTGATTCATCTTTGGTCAGGTACTGATAATGCCTTATCCTGTCCTACCATTTACCTTTTTTTTTTTTTGGTGACAAATTGTTAATAAATTGGCTTTTCTTTTCAATTTAAAACAATTTTCCTACTGTTTTATTTTTTTTTTCTGTGGTGTGCTGATTGTGGCCGGCTGGGTGCCGGTCATTTTGCCCTGGTGTTCGCCGTCACCGGATGCACTGAGGTTTCCCACAGGCCTTGGGGACCTCTAGAGCAGATTGAGTTTTTATGGGGTCAGACTGGGCTCACCTTTTTTAATTGTGCATTTTTCTTTCACCCCGGGGTTCGGCATAAATCGCGGCTCCGTGTTTACAAGTGAGCTAGAGAAAGTAATATAAACTCGGACAGCGCTATATATTTTAAAAATTTAATTTTTAACATAAAAAAAGTTTTTGCCCACAGGAGGTTAAACTTGTTAAAAAGGTTAAACTTTTTTTTTTATTATTATTATTTGAGAGGTATTCTGGTACAATCCAGTGCAAGGTTAATGGCGTATCCAAGCAAAGATTTATTAGACTTTTGAGATTAATGTGATGACCTGGTGTGGTATAATTTCACTGGAAATGGACCTGAGTGTGTAGAAGCAATGCTGGCTGTCAACCTTCTGCTTAACTTGTGGGACCTGGAGGTTTGCTAATTTTGGACATATCCTGCGAACGGCATCTCCCGGGGCTGAAACACAGTGGGTTTTAAATTCTGCGAATGTTCTGTGAAATTTTGTTGACAGAATGGAGACCTAATTGAGACCCGAGTGAGGGAGAGGTTAGTTTGTCTTGTATTTCTAGAGACGAACCTGGCAGTCTGCTTTTAGTTAAGTGAGACGTTGTAGGCCGCATGTCGGACTGTTTATTTAACTTCCCGAAATGATCCTGGGTAATTGCTTCTGCCTCCGGAGCACAGCTGCGGTGCAGTTTCCTGAAGACCCCAGGATCTCTGTCAATGAGGACGTTGGTTGTGGGACAGGCTCTCAATAAGCTCGTGGGCGTGGCTCCCACAATTAAAGCCTGATGTTAATGTGCCTTTTGCCCTATTGAGCTGTGAGGTAGGCCTGATAATTACAAAGCCATTTAATAAACAGTAATTATGGGCAAAATAGTTGCTTGTAAGGCCATCTGGGCTTCCGTACCACAGCTTACCCATAATTGATGGCTGTCACAAGCAGGACTTGATTTTGTCGAAATTGAAAACCTTGTTGCCTTAATGGGCCAACATTCATTTATTGGATGCAAGGTCTCAGGAGTCTGGAGCCTAATCCTGGATGCTACGGGTGCGGGTTTACCCACAAAAGCATGCCGAACCCATCGCAGGGCACTCGCATCATTCAAACACGCAGTCGCATCTACAGGCATCTCTCTAACAGGCCCCGTTGCAGTTTCTTATGTGTGCACTTGGTGGTGCTTCTGTAGATGATGTTACCTTATGGCAGTATCTCAGCAAAGCCTACTGCCGTGATCTGTGTTATCTGCTGTATCTTTTTTTTTGGGGGGGGGGGGGGGCTGGCTGGCTGTAGGGGGGGGCAGGATGGAGGTGACCCCCTACTGCGCATACGCGATGGCTAACTGGGTGTCTCTGCTCTCTCCGGGCCTGCGGCGGCAGACTCTTCGGCGTAAAGGGGCCCGTCTGTCTCAGGTAGAGCGTCCCCACCATGCTAATGCAGCTGCCGCTTTGCGCCGCATGCTAACCCGCCATTGACTCTGTCGTGCCTTTCTGTGTTTGCCTGTATTTCATCGCCTTCCCTCTTACTGCAATCCTTATTTCTCCTTAACCTCCATCATAGCCAGCTAAAAAAAGAATGCGGCTGATGGCAAGGATTGATAAGTGGCTTGAGAGTGGTTGCACGACCCCCCCCCCCCCCCCCCCCTGTTTTATTTGTCAGCTTGGGCCTTTGTGGTCAGCATGCGCTCAACACCCATTGTCGACATGGGGTCGGTTCTGCCTGACTGACGACATGCCTCTCGACCGTCCACAGGCTAGAATTCGAAAGGCAGCAGCGCGAGGAGCTGGAGAAACTAGAGAATAAACGGTATGTCAAAGAAAGGCTGTTCTTCCTGAGATGACCTGCAGGGGGCGCTCTTGAGCGATCACCTTGCTTGTTTAGCCTGATATGTTGTCTTCCTAACGTTTCACATTCTCTCCGATGGCCAGGCGTTTGATTAAGGAGATGGAGGAGAAGCAGAGGTGCGAGAAGGCGGAGCTGGAGCGCATCCAGCAGGAGGTGGAGTCCCAGCGCAAGGAGTCGGAGCAGGTGCAGCTGCGCATCCGCTGGCAGGAGGAGAGCCTGATGCGCCGCAGTCGCGACATCGAGAGCCGGCTGCGCGACCTCCTGGCCGAGAAGGAGCGCTTCGAGGAGGAGCGTCTGAGCCGTGCCCAGGAGGAGCAGGACCGGCTGCATGAGGCCCATTGCAAGGAGCGTGCCGAGAAGACCGAGATCTTCCGTGAGCTGGAGAAGCTGCGGCGGGAGCGTGACGAGCAGGCCATGCGAATGGAGGCGGAGAAGCGGCGGCTGGAGGAACAGGAGCTAGAACAGCGCCGCCTGGTGGGCCGGCTGGAGGAGCAGCTACGTGAGAAGCAGGAGAGCATGGGTCTCTTGCGCATGGATGATGTGCAGAGGGCCGAGGACGAGCGTGCTGTCCTGGAGGGCATTAGGGGTGCCCTGCTGGAGGCCAAGGAGGCGCGGCCTGACGGCAATGAGGAGCACCCAGAGGTGCGGATTGCCAAGGCCCGCTACGTGGACTTCAAGGTGGCGCAGCTGGCACAGCTGGAGCGGCTGCGGGCTGGGCTCCTGCGGCAAAAGGAGCGTCTGGAGACGGACGTGCAGAGCGAGCGGAAGGCCCTGGGTGTGCTCCTTCACGCCCATGAGGAGCACCAACGGCAGGAGGCAGGCGCCCAGGACGTGGCCAGGCTGGCGCAGGAAAAGGAGCGCATCTCGCAGGCGGATCAGTGGCTCCGCTACAAGGAGCGGCAGCTGGAGCGCCTGTCACAGACGCGACTACCTGCTTTAGAGGAGGAGCGCCGCTCCGTGGCGGAGATCTTGGAGCGGGGCCCTCCGGGCCTGGACAACGCCCTCTACCAGGTGGAGAAGGAGCTGGAGGAGAAGGAGGAGCAGCTGTCGCTCTACCTGGCCAGTGCAGACCAGCTGCAGCAGCTGCGGGAGACCTACGAGTTCACGGCCAATGTGGCCCGACAGGAGGAGAAGGTGCGCCGCAAGGAGAAGGAGATCCTGGAGTGCCGCGAGAAGCAGCAGCGCGAGGCCCTGCAGGAGGCGGTGGCACGCCTCGAGAGACGGCACTCCGCCCTGCAGCTCAGCTCCACGTTGGAGCTGGAGCTGGAGGAACAGAAGCGCAAGCTCTCCGGCCTGGACCTTTCCCACAGCCAGGCGGGGCTTCAGGCCAGCTTGGAGGCGGAGCACAGGACCATAGAGCTGGACAGGGAGAGGTGGGTCTACGTCATTGGATGAGTGGAAACTGTCCAGACCCTGGGGGGACCGTGTAAAAACTCACATCTGAAAAGGCAGCAGAAAAATGTGTATTTACATTTACATTTAGATATTTAGCTGATGCTTTCATCCAAAGTGAGGCAAATAGCACATTACAAACATGCTGTTGAGGAGTCAGTGAGGCATAAGTGCAGCTAGGCTGAGTTTCCAGTGAAAGCCCAGGTACAGCTAGGCTGAGCTTCCAGTGAAAGCCCAGGTACAGCTAGACTGAGCTTCCAGTGAAAGCCCAGGTACGGCTAGGCTGAGCTTCCAGTGAAAGCCCAGGTACGAGTCTAAGCAGGATTGGAGCAGGAGCGACACAACAACAGGTAACAAAGCAAGAACCTAATAAGACTATTTAAGGACCAGAAGTGCAACATAAGAACATTCAGGGAACGTAAAAAAGCATGAGGCTCATAGAGGACTTTGTATTGTACCATTTGATCTCTGGCTTCAGTGTTTCCCAACCCGGTCCTCGTTTTTGCTCCCTGCCAGACGTTCCACGTTTTTAAAAAAATGTGGACTACCTGGCGGTCCCCGAGGCCCGGGTTGGGAAACACCACTCTAGCAGTCTGCGTTTCTCCACAGATCATTCGGTCTTCAGTCTAGGTCTTCAGGCTTGCCAATGGCATATTCACTGTGGTGATGATGGAGTTTGTGCTTGCTGCTGCTATTGGTTGCTGCTCTGGAAGCTTTCACGGCACTCCATATTCACACGTTTAACAGCTGAACATGCGCTAGTGCAGCAGAGGTTAACGGGCTTCCCCAAGGCGGTGCGAGTAAAGGCCGCAACGGCGTCGCACCTGAACCGTGTGATTTCCTGAACCGCTTGGCCTCACCGTGTGCATTAAGTAACGCTCAGAGCTGATTTGCTGCTTAGTCAAGGGCCTGTTTATTTGTTTGTTTTTTTTTTGGCCAGCTCTCCCTTGGGCCAGCTGCAGAGTCGACGACCCGGTGCCCCATGTTGTCGGGGGGGGGGGGGGGAATGCTAATTAACTTTACGGTTATCGAGTTTCCTCAGGTATCCGCTGACTTAATGCGGCGTAACTCGAGAAAATCGGCGGGAAGAATCATTTCCTCTGAGTTCCAATTTAGCTGAACGTACAAGTATGAAATTTCGGCAGTGCGAGGTTTTGCCTAATTTACCTTGTCGGCTTCTAATTGGAATACAGTTTAAATTGAGCTCCCTGTAGAGTTTGAGTTTTTTCTCCTTTCTCCTTCATCCTTTATTGCCCGAACAGGCAGAGGAAATCACTCCGCGCGGAGAGAATAGCCGCTAAGGCACAGGTCGCCGTTGCATGTCTGTTTCGACGGGCCAATGCTGCCTAATCGATTGTGACCGATTGTGAATATGGGTCCGCAGAGATCGGTCTCTCAGAATCGAATCCCGTCCACTACACCAGAAGGTGGGGGTTCAGA